CCTTTGGACATATGAGACCAAAGTGGAGATCTTTGGTTATGATGCACGATGCCATGTTTGGCAAAAACCAAACATAGTATATTACCACAAACACCTTATACCAACCATCAAACACGGTGGTGGAAGGGTGATGATTTGGGCTTGTTTTGCAGCCACAGGACCTGGGCACATTGCAGTCATCGAGTCGACCATGGACTCCTCTTTATACCAAAGTATTCTAGAGACAAATGTGAGGCCATCTTTCCAACAGCTAAAGCTTGGCCAAAATTGGGTCAATGCAATAGGACAATGATCCCAAGCACACCAACAAATCTACGACTGAATGGCTGAAAAAGAAAAGAATCAAGATGTTGGAATGGCCAGGTCAAAGTCCAGACCTCAAACCCATTGAGATGCTATGGCGGGACCTTAAGAGAGCTATAAGAGCATAAACAAATCCCCTTAAACATCAATGAACTGAAGCAATGTTGTAAAGAAGAGTGGGCCAAAATTCCTCCGAAACGATGTGAGAAACTGATAAACTCATACAGAAAACAATTACTAACAGAATTAACAATTACTCAACTTATTGCTGCTAAAGTTGTCTCTACAAGCTACTGAATCATGGGGTGTACTTAGTTTTTCACACATGGCTTCTGCATCTTGGCTTATTTTTTGTTAAATAAATAATAACAAAGTGGAATCTGTTATGTGCTGTTTGTCACCTGAGGTTGGATTTACCTAATTTAAGTTTAGATTATTTTTTGGTTACGTCATGATATGTACAGTAAAACCATACAATTGAAAGAAGCTGTACTTTTTCACATGACTGTAGAATCTCAGCATCTATAGTGGAGAGATGTGAGCCCAAGTAATATGTTGGAGGTGATGAAAGCAGATGGATTAGTTCCTTCAACAGACCTAGTTTGTTTTCTTGCTTGGAGTGTAGTCATTTCTGCAGAAACCTGACACGACAGCCAGTGAGTCAAAAGACTTATGATAAACCTCATTCATAAAGTAAATGAATTCAGTTTTCAATGAGAAATCAATCTTCTACGTTTTTTAGTGCTTATCTCCTCGGTAATGGTCATATTCACACTCTTATCCTTAAAATGTCTTAAAATGGGCAGCTGCCTGTTTACAGTCCATTAGAAGGGGGTGATTTACACACCTAAGAAATGACTCATTTAATGGGAATTTGCTCTCTTTCAAGACGTACAGTATGTACAGATGATATGAGTTCATAAAAGGTTTTTAATCTCTTAAAACATAGTGATTATCTAAATCAAATATGAGATGAAATATTCCATCAGTAAAGAAAAAAGTGTTATGTTTCTACCTTCAGAATAAATGCATTTTAAGTAACTTGGCAGCATGGATGTTAGTGCTGCTGTTTCACTCTTGCATCCTGGGTTTTATTCTAAACTGGGGCACCTTCCATGTGCAGTCTGTTTAGTCTCTCTGTGTTCCCTATGCTTTCAGTATAAGGACTAAAAAATTCAATTCTTTCATCCTACCAATGTAGGACATTACCTTAACCACCAAAATCCATCTACTCTTCTATATACCGATTCTAGAACATCAACATCTTTTTTTTTTAATATGGTGACCTAAACTGTACACAATTGCAATTTTAACGTAACATCCCTTGGTTTGAATTTTGCACTTTTGACTGTACAGTCTAACATTAGTTTGCCTTTTTATGGAAAATGTAAACTAGTATCAACATAAATACCCAAGTCTTTTTCAAAAGTAGCCTCTTCTAGTTTAGCGTTTCCCATTTTGTAATTATAGTTTGTTTTTACTATGTCCATGCACGTCATCTGCCAAGTGTTTGCCAAGTCATGAATTTTATATAAATCTTTTATTTCATTTGCTGTTTCTATAGTGTTTGATAATCCTCCTAATTTGTGTTCTCTTGACTAGTTTATTAACTATACCAGAGTCCAGATCATTGACATGAATTGGGAATAGCAGTAGTCCAAGTATAGATCCCAGAAATACATACAATATCAACCATAATCCCTTATCTGTAGCCTCTATTTAATAACCAATCCTCAATCTAAATGCACACATTTCCCTGAATGCCAGCAACCTGTAATATAAGAATTGATCTTTAATGGGAAGTCCAAATTAAAATCTAAATACTGTTTTTGCTTGTTCAAAGAACTCTTAACTCTTAAGTTGGTTATGCAACCCTCCCCTTTTCTTAATTCATGTTGACTACTCCAATGGATATTATTTCCATATAAAGTAGGTTTTCCTCTAGATTGAATAATTGTTTTGATAAGCTTACATGTAATAGAAGTCAGACTTAGTCACCCTTCCTCTAGATTTGCACTACACTGGAAATTATCCAGTACATGAGTGCTACCTCTTTACTGAGCAACTGCTAGAAGAGTGACATTAAAAGCATCTGAATGATATCCTATTTTCTTGACTAAAATTGTTAAGATACCATTGGGCTCTGGAGATTTATCGAGTCCTTCTAGTACTTTAAAACACCTCTTCTATTCTAATACCATTTAACAAACTAAATCCTGCTGCTGTCTGAGGTATGTTGACTTCTTTCTTTGCAAACACCTGAGAGAAATACTTGTTTAGTAAATCTTTAATTTCCCTTTCATCGTCTAGTTTACATTTGTCTCGGGGCACATTTTACTTAATCCTCAATGGTTCCTTTTACACACTGAAAGTAGAGTAACATCCCAACTCTTCTAAATGGTGCCATAGGATCTTTAATGACCAGGTAGTCATTACCTTAGTTTAATACCTCATTCAAAAGGGCGACACCTGCTGTAACTCTGTCCAAAATTCCATTGGCTTGGAAACACTGATCCTTAAGGAAGTGTGTGACCTACTGGTCCACCAACACCACATACAGAAGCAACCTGAATTTCCTTAGAGGTATTCCATCACAGAAAGTCTTACTCTAATTAAGTTTGGCAACCAAACAAAATGTAACACCAAAGCAATTTTACACAAAACAAAAAGCAAAAAGCAAAGTACATTATCAAAGGATTTTCAGAATAAAATACTTTGGCAGAGGTATGCTTTCACCGGTCATACTTGCTTTCACTACTGAACAACCCAATTCACCTTTGTTTCTACGTTATCTAAATGGAAACTTAATTACAGGAAGCGCATAACAGCTCTGAGAAATTACTGAAAGGATCTCAACACAGGACATTATGGTATATTGAGCAAATAGCAACTAACTCAGTTAGGTCTGGCATTGGACTTGTTAGAACAGTCTGAATTCCCCTCTTCTAATAGCTTTCAGACAACTATTCTTAGATGTTTAATTTTTGAAAACTTAAAAAAGTAATTCAAATAGAGTATGCAGGTATTTTGCCCATTAATAACCTTCAAATTCACAATAAATTTATAATTAATAATTGCTTACACTTATATAGCACTTTTCTGGACACTCCACTCAAAAGCGCTTCACAGGTAATGGGGACTCCCCTCCACCACCACCAATGTGCAGCATCCACCTGGATGATGCGACAGCAGCCATAGTGCACCAGAACGGTCACCACACATCAGCTATCAGTGGGGAGGAGAACAGTGATGTAGCCACTTTATAGATGGGGATTATTTGGAGGCCATGATTGGTAAGGGTTACACCCCTACTCTTTTCAGAGAAACACCCTGGGATTTTTAATGACCACAGAGAGTCAGGACCTCGGTTTTACGTCTTATCCAAAGGACGGTACCTGTTTGCAGTATAGTGTCCCCGTCAATATACTGGGGCATTAGGACCCACATAGACCACAGGGTGAGCACCCCCTGCTGGCCCCACTAACACATATTCCAGCAGCAACCTTAGTTTTTCCAGGAGGTCTCCCATCCAGGTACTGACCAGGCTCACACCTACTTAGCTTCAGTGGGTTGCGAGATGTGAGTTGCAGGGTAATATGGCTGCTGGAAATTTAATATGATACCCAACATTTCAACACTACTCAGAGGCAAGAAAAAGAAAAACTGACAAGTTTGGATTTTTGCTGCCACTCGAATTTCCAACTGAACATACGTTGAGTTATTGAAATTTTAACTAGTGTTTCATACATAGTGAAATCTACTGTATTTTTGTTTCATGATTTGCGTGATCATGACTTGACATCATTTTTTTCAAATGTTTCATTTCCTTGGTTAACATACTTTGCGTTGACACTCCCAAATTTTATAATTTGATGTAATAATTATTATGCTACTGTACATTTTCCTGTATTACTTCACTATTTTGATTACTTAAAACCACTATCTGTTGTCTAAAAATTAACATTCTACTACAAAAGTTGTATTAGAAAACATGATATTCAATACAATTATTTTATGGGCAGCATTATATTTTTCTATTCCCTTGTTTTTTTAAACTAATGTTGTTCAATTATTAAATCAGAGCACTTAGTACTTACTGTAAATGTGCTTTTGCAATTTATTGAAATATTGACATCATGTAAAACTTGATAAGGGTCACACCAGGTGCCAATGCTACCTATGGTAACTGCATAAAATAACTCCATAAAATGGATAAAAATTGCAGAACTGAACTTTGTCCATATGGTAAAACACTTATCTCCACAGAACTGGTAATGACAACAACAGACATTTTAGCTTACATGTCAAATTGTAAAGCAGCGCTTCTTGCATTTCTACCCAAAGGAAAGAGAATGTTTTCATTTCACAAAGTGAACAATTGCTGTGGGATCAAAAACTGTTACAACTTTCAGGACCTAGAGCCTTTAAATCTGCCAGTCATCCTCTGCTATCCACGCTGTCAATGTTTCAAAATACTTTACTATAATAAGAACTTAATATACATTCTTAATGAATATTGCACTTCAATTGATCTAAACATCTGAGAAACTCTTAGCTCTAGCATTTTAAGTTGTTAAAATTTAGCACACACCTCTCTGTATCTGTAATCAATTAGATTTCTGGCCATTTTAAAGGTTGCAAAGCATTTGTACAATAAACCACTTAAGACAAAAAAAAAACTTTAGATTTTACTTCCATTATTGTAAAATACATGATACTTTTATTGAAAAACACAAGTTTCAGTGCTTATCTACAGACATTTATTGTAAATGTAAATTTACAATTTACAACAAAAGTGAACATTTCATTTACCTGAAGCCTGACTAAGACTGTACAGAGTAATCAATACACACCGACTACAACAATCTGTGCACAGGACACCATTCATTAAAAACATACTGCATCAATAAGACACTATAATAACACAACAGTGAAAAACAAACAGAGCTCCAGTGGAAACAGGCCATTGAGCAAATACACAGATTTCATTTTGTGTAACATCCTTTAGACAAAGAGCTATGATCAGTAGTGCTTTTGCCCAACTCTACAACAGACACTTGCTGTTTTGTAATGAGTCTTTTTAGAGATGCAACTTCTGCTGACAAGTCAGCAATACCCTGTTTTAAATACAAGTTTTCAGAATCGGCATCATTGTAAGAATTGTCTTTCAGGTCCACAATTAGTTTGCTGGTTAAAGGCCCTGGAGAGGCAGGGCAAAGTCTGTTATTACAGTTGCTTGGAACAGTCACTGGGTGGTCCTTGTTGTGCCAGTGTTCTGGCCGGTGAGACCAGTCCTGGAGATTAGTCACTTGGAGAGATAAAGGACTGATAGAGGACTGTATTAAATCTGAAGTCGTGTGTTTCCTTATCTGATAACATCCTTTAGCAGACATGTCAAGGGGAGATGACAGTTTTCCTGAGGACTCATAGTCAGGATCTATGGCCTCCACTTTAATCTGAATGGCTCTTGCTTTGATCCTGAGTTTATGAGGCAGGGCTGAGGAGTTTGTGTCTGGTACCTTGACGGTGGAGGTGCCAATGCTCTTTGGGTCGATGGGAGAAGGAATCGGCCCTTTTGGAACCTGCTGCTCATCTTCCCCATCCGAGGCTTTGCTCACCATACCTTCGTCCCCTTCCGAGGTTCTGGGAGAGTTGCTGGAGGACCTTGTAATCTGTAAAATTGGAGAAGGCTGAGAGTAGCTTCCCGGAAACGGGTTTCCCATATAGTTCCGGTACGGGTCATAGGGGATATTCTCCTCTCTTGCTTCCCGTGTGTAATTACCATTCTCAAGTGGTTCTTGTTTGATTATTTCAGGGGTTCTGCAAGTATTTCGTAAAGGGCTATCCTGGGCAACCACAGACGTTTCCGACACATCAGACAGAGTACTCTGTGGGGAGTGCTTAATAACTGAAATGCAACTGCTGCTCAGCAAGGTGGACTCCGACTCCCCTGAGTAAGAGCTTCTGCTTGTATTGGGCAAGTTAAAATCCTGATAAAACGCAGCTGTGGAGTTTGAAAGTTTCTGTACCTCCTGGGCATAGGCTGATGAGCTGACCAAACCAAATTTAAGTTTCAAGGACAGCAGTTCGGCCTTTAAGGTAGCGTTCTCCTCCCCCAAGGCCATCAGTTTATTCTCAAGGACCATATCATTCAGTCGCCTCTTCTCCCTAGACCGTTTGGCAGCCTCGTTGTTTTTCCGTCTTTTCTCCCAATACTGGTCATCCTTCTTTTCATCGGGGATAAACTCGCGTTTCCTGCGGCACGTCGAGGTCTTCTGCTTAAAAGCCACACCAGGTAATTTCTGACCCACCAACTCCCTGTCCGAGCCTTGTAAAGCAGCCGCAAGCACTAAAACATCATCTCCACCGCAAGAGTCTACAGTCCTCTCCTCTTTTTTAATCGATTGCATATTTCAAAATTTCAAAACACTGCTTTGGCTTTAAAAAAGGCTCTACAAGGATTTCATTTTTCCTACAGGTAAGACTCAGATGCAGCAGTGTTCTTAATGCCTTTTAATTCCAGAAGATGGTGGTTTCTTTCTTCAGTGGCAAAGGTTCTACAATACCTAAAAGAGGGGAAGAAAGAGGCAGACGTCATAAATAATTGGAATCTTGATTTCTCTCAATGTGCCAAGTGTAACTTCCTCTGACTCAGTACAGCTGCAATGCACTTAAGATCTTATTTTATGAGTCAGCCTTTGCAAGTAACTAGGGGAATTTAGCAGAACACCTTAAAGAGTTTTGTCAGAGAAAAAGGAGTACGCAAAGTACACTGAATGAATACCGTTTTAAACAGAATAAGCCTCCCTGCAGTTCTGGGGACCTGCTTACCATTGATAAGAATCATTATTTATCATAATGGAAGTGGAAACACTGAACAAGATTCATAAAATAAAAGCATTTATTTAAAAAAATGCACAATCTTAAGCTTTGGTCACTACATATGATTACAGAAACAGTTTTTGTTCAAAGGAAGCTGATGTGGCTTACAACATAATTCAATGTTCCCTTTGGCATGCTTTATAGATAATGAAAGCAAACTTAATAAAAAGAGAGCAGCATATACTAGTTCAACCTGACTAAAGTGCACTCAAGTTCAAATGTAATTACACGAGTGAATTGCGACAACTGCTACTGCCCAGAGTAGTGTCTTTTAAAGACAATTTAAGAAATAAAATTATGTTCCAGTTACCTTCAAAAGGCAGTCACACATCACCTAAGCAATTCCAAACTTACGTGTTTTTTGTTCAGAACTTTAATAAATACTTAGTACTCTCAAGTACAAAGAGGTTCATTTTCTCTGCCTAAAAATCTCTTCGTGTCTATTCTACTTAATTTCATAAGGATTCTTTAAGGGTCTGAGATTAACATCATGAAATAGTGACAGAGTATTACAATCTAAAATATAAATAATTAATAGATCAAATGTATTGATATACATCTTACAAAAGCAAAACGTATTAACAGTTATTGTTTTCTTGTAGGTATTCTAAAATGTGGTTTAATCAGAGCTCAATGAATGAATACAAATTTGTGAACATATGTTTCAAGATTTAATCATAGCTCTTTCACAACATCACAGATTAATAACAATGTCTTTCTGCACCATGTACCGTATGTGGGTGATATAAATGATTACAACCTACAAATGCTACAAACAGAACAGAAAGACATTGTCATTAATCTGTGATGTTGGGAAATGTTACAACCTACAAATGCTACAAATCTTCATTTAAAAAGGAAAGAAATCAAAGCTTCCACAGAAGACACCTTTAAATAAAAACTAACAGTACTTGGAAGAGATTTACAACTGGTAAATGCAAATTATTAATTCATAGGGCTACTAATTTGCATTCAATCATAAAAGGGTGCGTGTACACTCGTAAAAAAAAAGAATCATCATACCAGCTTGCAATATCACTAACACATCACTGTATTCAACTTATTAGAAAATGACTATTGTCACTTTCAATGAACAAGACAGGTATGACATGAAATCTGAAGTGTACTAAGACACCCATGGTCAAATTCATAAGACAATTACAAAACGCGCTCATTTTCTGAAAACAAAAAAACTGGCAAAATAAAGATGTAAAGTGGTTATATTCACATGGTCCCAGAGGGCCATGGTAGGCTACATTTATGAGTAACTTGTATCCCAGATGAGTAAGACCTGGAAGGTAGTAACAAGGAGTGAATATTAAGTGGTATGTGACATTAACTTTTTCAGGAAACTAGTTTAAAACCAGACAAGATAGCTCAATGAGTTAAACCACAGCCTTAGGTGCCCAAATGGTTCTAAGAGCACAAGTTCAAATCCCACTCCCAGCTTTAAAAAAAAAAACCCTGAAATTGTAGGGAGCTGTAATGGTTAGCATTGCTACCTCACAATGCTGGGGGCACAGTGTTCACTTCTGGACCTAGAATGCTATCTAAATGTAGTTTGTATAGTCTTGTGAGTTTTCTCTGGGTGCTCCAGTTTGCTCCCACAGTCCAAAGATATACTAGTAGGTTAGATGGTTTCTGGGAAACCTAGCCTGGCCCTGGCATGAGTGTGTATGTGTCTGTGTCTGTGTGTGCCCTGTGATGGACTGGCATCCCATTCAGGGCATATCTCGCCTAGCCTAGCTGCTTGCTGGGTTAGGCTCGGGCTCCCCCGTTACCCTTAACCTGATGAAGCAGTTAGAAAATGAACAGATAGTTTAAAACCTAGACCATCTGTTCTCTGATAAAGGTAAGATCAACCTAGTCAGCAGCCAGTGCTTTATTTATAAGATGTGCTCTGATATAAAGGCTTGCACCACATTTTGATTATATTTAATATATTGTTCTCTTACAGATTGGAAGACCTCTTACATATGCCAAGTGAAACATCTAAAGCATGCAAAGCAATGCGCAAAAAGTGGGTGCTTTGGGTCCACCTCAGTGACTCAACCAGCAAAGGTCCTTGCCCAAGCTCTGTGATCACAGAATCAGGACCGAATCATGTCTGTCACTAGTCAACTGCAACCGGGACCACTGGCTGAGTGTCATCAAGTGCAGGTGGGCTCTACTGGCTGCGAGCGACATATTGACACCTGTGGCCTCCTGGCATACAGTGCTGTCGGCGAGGGAAGGACCAATCGTCCAGTTGGTACTGAACCTTTCGTGAGGGGCTGTGATGCCAGTGACATGTGAAAAGACAAATGGCAGGAATTGGGCAGATGGGAGTAGTCTCCCTACACTTTCCCCATGTGTGGTCACAGGGTTCTTGGCAGGAAAATGAGACTTTAAACAAAGCCACTGGCTATTTGAAAATCGTCTGTCTGTCTATTCTAAATTTATAAAAAAGCAAGTACATCTAATTAGGAAGGATTGTGAACGTTGTGCGTTTTCTCTAGACCTTTCATGGGCTACTACAGAAAATCTGAAACAAAACCTCTGGTGATGCTACCACAATATTTGAATTTGGTTTCGTAGGGCATACTTGAGAGGATAAGAGAGAAAATCAGGAGGACTTAAGTTAATCAAATAACATGAATAATCACAATAACAGTGATTGTTATTGACATACTGTATACATATATCTGACTAACTTGTAAGTTCAATACACTATTTTGAGATACCAAAAAGTCCTTTTAAACTTAGTTCAGAGTTAAGATAAAAATACACATCCTGTTTTAATTTATTCCTGACTTGCTATTTATGACTCATTCATTTCAGTTGGGCTCCATAATTAAAATATTATGATTTCATCAACTGAACATTTGACAGTTCTGAGTGAATAATAACTTAAATCACTATACAATAAGATATAGTCAACAGTATTTTATTCATAAATACAATTCATTTAATGACTCGACACACCTATGAATGAACAATATGATCAGGTTTTGGACATAACTGTAAGTGATTCCTGGACTCAATGTTCTAGTTAAATATGTCTTCACTTAAAAAATGAAAATAAACCCTCGGGAATAATGGATAAAGTAAAGACGCATCAGAGATACATTGGGCTATTTAACCAATATACATAAAATAGGTAGAGATAAAAAAAGGTGAGATTTTTAAAAAAGTCGTCAAGATAAAGTAAAACAAAAAACACGGGAAAAACAATATAAAACGTTTTATATAAAACATAGAAAGCAGGCACCGTTAAATCCCTCATAAAAAGATTGAAATAACCGCATAAAGGTAACAATAACACATCCAAGTATTAAAAATAAAAACAGTACAAAAGTTACCCACTTTGGGCAGTAAAACGTTTCCATTGTTAGCTCAGGCATTTTTTCCAAACAGTTTGAAGCTGTACTCTGCCAGTTTTGGAAAATCTGGCACGCCTTACTTGAACTCTGCACTATTGCTCAAATGCAAATTGTTATGCAACTGCCTCAGCAACTCTCACTACGGCTAGCCTCTCGGATTCGAATTATGTCACTCGTTTATCGGAGTATCCCGATTACACAATTACTTTACCTCTCTGTAAACTAAAAATAAATAAAGCCAAGCTCACGCATAAACAGACAAACGGCTCGACACACTTGCACTGATAAAAATAGTTTAAAAGCTCCCCCGGCGTTAACTCTAAAAATAGGTAAGGGCGAAAAGAAGTTAAGTATCCGTCGGGATAGCATCTGTGGGACGTTTAAATACTGAACAACATTTGGATTCATGTCGGAAATTATAAGGCTGAATTACACAGATGACCTTCAGGTGACAGATGCTGATCGGATTGTATCTTAATTGTCTGTGGTTAAAAGAAATTTCATCGTACGGATTAGGGCGGGCTGCCTGACTGGATTCCCGGACTGTTAAGCAATATTATAATATGTGCTGTTGTGCTAAATGTTCATTGCAACACTGTACATGTAGACGTACAGTACGTGACTAAGGCACCATTGGAGCTCGTAGGACTCGCTGCTTTCACGCCAGCCAGTCGTGTTTATTAGCGCACCAGGAACAAAGGAATGCACCCTGCCATCCATACACGTGTATGCAGCCGATAGGGGAAAAAAACGGGAATTAAAGCACATATAAAAGATGTCAGGTTTCGTGAGCTAGACGTAAAACACGTGCTTTTAATATTAATATTTCAGACCATTCTCCTCTCAGACTAAAAATCTTTTCAGAGCTTGGAGTATTCAAGCCCAGATTCGTATTTTTTTTTAAAAGTTGCTGAGATTATTTTGTATGCGCACAGGAAAAAAATATGTATTTCTCTGGTTTGCCTTTTTTAGATGTTAGCGTACGCAAAGCCACACTCCAGCTCCCCTTTTATGGACAACGGTCTAGCCAGACCTGCGTAAGAATGCGAAACACCAACGCCCCTTGACATCCCACTAGCTATGCGCCACACACACAAAAAAAAGATACTATCACAACACAAAAGTGTAACTTAACTATTCTACTATTACATAAGAGAGCAAACATTGCTAGCTCAAAGACGAGTTTACCGGTTAACCCGTTTCTGGCGTGCGTTGCACCTCGTTTAAAGAAGTGCTCGGAACATGGCCTCATGGTTGTTTTGTTCAATTCAGGTTTAAGATTGGCATTTTCAAATGCTTGCCTCACTTATCTGACTCGGTAATTCAAACAAGACTCAAGATTTCCGAAATCGAGAAGAAATAACTTAAAATCTCTGCGCCGGCAGGTTTAACAACAACTCACCCCTTGTAAGTTTTGTGATTTTGTTTCCAGTAAGAGAAAGCGTATCTTTAGTCAAACAATCCTCAATGCCTACATTCGCATGGGTGAATTAAACATTGTTCACGTCTATGTCCCAGATTCCTTTATTGTCAGGATTACAAAATCGCGTAATCAGCTCCCCTATTCTTTCCACCAGCTGCCAGCAAATTCTGTGGCTGCATTATGCAACATTTCCAGGAACGATCCTGTCGTATGTCCTCAGAACAACCGTGACTGATAATATTGATGAAATACGCAATGACGAAGGAATGTTATGTATTTCATTTAATTAAACGGGCACGCATACGAATCAAATCCATCAATTCCGGCTAAATTAGCCCAAAGTGTTTAATTATGAATTATTTCCCCTCAGGGTCTCTTTTACTATTACTTGGGAAGTAAACCTATGCTTAAGCCCATAATGTACATGTGAGTAAATAAAAATCACCATTCATAACTGGTTTTAAGTGAGAAACTTGGTAAACTCACCAGTCCGCGTTCGTGTATGCATTCATAGGTCTCAGACAATACATTCACTCCTAACTGGTCATTGATCGTATAAATTAAGAACCACAAAACAACAATGGCAGGATCATGACTTTTATCACATCAACGTCTCTATACAGAACAGCGCACATGATTAATTTTCTGGGTCACTATGCCATGGTTACAACGGTGATGTTTACACAACCTGAAAATCATGCCACAGCCAGGACCTCGTTCCCCACAGACACTGAAAAGTCATCAAAGCTTATGAATTAAAACCCAGAGACGGAATTCGCAACAGTGGATCCTTAGACTGTATTATTATACGGCAAATATATATTACGTTCAAAAAAGACTACGTGCCACTCTGGTACACTGCAATGTAACTATTTACCTTAAGGTGGCGATTATCCCATTGAATAAATCCTCAAAAACTAAGTATCTGTAGGTTTTCAATAAACAAGTAATGGTTTACCTTTTCAATCGAACACGACCTAAATGTCAAAGATGCGGCGTCCTGTGACATCGTAGTTTAAAATACACGTCGGTACCAAGAAAAAAAACAAGTTAAGTTTCCTTGGTGGTCAAAATCCAATTGCATTGAAGTAAAACCTCTCTCTCCCTAGCTTTCCAGTCCTGGAGTGTCTGCTCCACAGATCTGTGTTAGTAGGTCAGTCAAGAAACGTATTGGCAACACAGCGTGTTATTGACACTTAAAACAGCCAATCCGAGAAAGGCATTATCTGATTTCAACCAATGATGACCTACCCGAGCTGCGAAACCAGTCTCTGGTACACAAGAGTGTATCTTCTGCACCGAATTTGCACCTATTGCATAACAAGCTAGAGAGCGACGGAGTTATATGTATAATGTGACTACTGTATGTAGTAAGAGAAAGATGTTTCGCCCGGTAGGATTACCAATGGGGTGTGACGGGGTCTTATTTGAAGGATTTTTTCAGATGAGTTCTGAGGACACTAAAATAACTAGTTGGAAGTTTCAAAAGCGTAGAAATGCAGACGGGGATCATGCGCTCAAAACGGGACTGTAAACATAACATTTCACTGTAGAAGGTCTGTCTTTATTTTCTTTCTACAGTACTTGAATGTGTTTTTAAAAATCCTCTTGGTAACGACAGTGCAAAAACACATTCAATTTATCTACCCATGTGTCCGCAGCAAAGAGAGAGAAAAAGATGCATACTTTTTCACAAGGTTTTGTAACATCCCAGACTAATGAGGGTGACACTGAGTAGAAGTTAAGGCTCTGTACTCTAGGGCTTAAGGTTCCACAACACAATGGATACTATTGTTATATCCTTGGAAAAGGTAGCTATCCCGATATTGTTCCAGTCCTAAATATGACTCTGCATTGCCCTGTGATAGACTAGTGTTTTATTCAGAGAGATCAACGTATTCTCAAGTTCACGTCACACAACAGAAAACTGTTCAGACCTGACGAGGCATAAAGCTTGAGTACAACCTTCACATTTATCTGCTGGACTTCAGTGTTAAATCTTCTCCCGTATTTGCTTTTTGCATGTGTGTTACGGAGGTGAACAAATACATTCAAGTAGCCAACATTATTTCAGTTTCAAAACCTGGCAGTAATTTTGTTTTTGTTTTCCAATCTTTGGCATTTACAAAAGCAAATACAAACAAATGTATTTCCTAATACGGGAATACAGTAAGCTATTGCAAAAGTACAGTATTTTGTAAAAAATGTTAGAACTTTAGAGGAATACATTATCTAGGATTTACAGTGAAGGGGATGGTGTATATGTTTGAAATTAACTTTTTTAACTCTACACTTTCAGAATAAACTGACTTGAAATCTGCTTTATTATAGTAAAGTTATTTAATAGAATTCCTGTATAGTTAGATATACTGTAGGTAACTCTGGAGTAAATTCAGATTCTAATTGATGTGTTCACAAAGACAGTGTGAGTGCTTACAGCTCTGGATCCATTCATTACTATTGGGTTGTGGTTTATGGGTTCAATGTTGTAGCGCTTTGCTGTTGTATATTTTTAAACTGGAGATCGATTAGACTGATTGCTGCAGTCCACCAGTATGTACCAATGGATACCTGTACTGCTGGAGATGTTCACCTGTAGTGGACTAGCAATTGGAGATTATTCTCAGTTTGCTTAAAGACTGTCTTGTGACGGCCTTAACATTACACAGAAAATGCAGTCTTTTCCTCAGTAATGTGAAAACATTTCAACAAATGGAAATAACATTACACTATAACTAGTATATGGCGGTAACAAACAATACGTTTTTGCAATCTTTAGTTATTAAGTATTGATATATGGATTACTCCACAATAATGAGTACTCAAAGGGTTTTTCTTTCAGGGTTTGGATAAACAAGCATCGGAGAGGGCTAAACAAGGAAGTTCTCCTTTCTTTTGAGAACTTTTTAACCATTTCATAAAGATGATTTTACTAGTTGAGTGGCCTAAACATATTCCTGTCTCACCTCACACCCCTTGGGTCCAGTGTTCAATTCATGTTCTTTTCTTTTGTGATTCTAAATTAAACTGTAGGGCTGCAGTATATAAAATGACAGTCATCAGGATTATGAAGATAAAACTCTCTGCCACACTGAAATCTGCAGCCTAAATAGCAGAGATATAAAGTTTGACACAATGTTGGGCACAAAACAGAGCACAGAGCATGTCAGTGCTTAGTAGCTTGGACTTGTGCGCCGGGTAAGAGCTGATGCAGATGCATGTGCAAAACAATGATGTGATGTGAGATATATACTGTATATACCACAAATACAGAAGCACAGTAGCAAAACTGAAAAAAATCACATTGAGTTGCTCTCTTTATTATAAAAAGATCAGAATGTAACTCAGTAGACAAACCAAACAATCCAGGAACCAGTGTGAGGAGACCTGATACTTATCTCTTAGGCAAAACAAAACCCAGCCCCCTTTAAGCAAACCAAAACCAGTTTCTAAACAAACATTTAAGTCTGAAATAACACAGCAACTCAGAGCTGTTGAGTACTTACTACCCACCAGCATTTTTGGAACTATTTGAACTAAAAGAGGAGACATTTAACTTATTGCCTAAATTGAATTAGCCATGTGTGTAGGAAGTGAACTTGTTAACTTAAATGGAATTTCCCTCACACATTCACATGGCTGCCAACAACAAACTATGAAGTCATTAACTGAGCAGCCTCCCTGTCACAAGAGTGCATCATTACTTAATTCATAGGACAATATGCTTAAAATCTTAGCTACAAGATAAATCTAACACACGCTGAAAATTAATAGTTATGTCTATCAAGCAAACACAGACTCGTTTATGTAACACTTGGATTTCTACAATACAATAAACGGTTCATGAAAAGGTGCAGTCAACAAGCTTAGACAAGCTATACTGAGTATTCATTATTCACAAACATTGTGTAATTTATTTTTCCAAAGTTAGGTAAAGTAAATATTACTAATCCAGGACTCCAGGACTGTGTAACATGTTAAAACTATAAACTCCCTCGTACTCATCCATTTTCAGTTCATCTGGCATTTGAATATGATGCTAATTAACAGCATTTGAAATGATCTTATCTTAAAATAACACCATGTGTACCTTGACTGCAACTTCACTTTGTTAAAATATGTGCTTTCAATGCTTGTAATTCACTAACCAAAGTGTGAACAGTCTCTGTGTTAAATGTTCTTTCAGAATGTTGCAGTGGTAAAATCAATACATATTTAGTGGAATTAAGTGATATGTGAAAGCTCACGCATAAAACAGCATCATAAAAAGGTAGTGACGTTTATGCGTAGGAGTAATCTCTTGGTCCTCTGTGTTTCAAACAAAACTTTGATCTAGAGTAGACTATCCACCTTTAAAATATACAGATAAACATTTCTGCTATTAAAATACATTTTCTTTTCTGATTTAAATAGGCAAAAATCTGTGTTATGGGCAGCACAGTGAAGCAGTGGTTAGCATTGCCGCCTCACAGCGCTGAAGCCCTGGGTTCAATTACCATGCTGCTGTCTGGGTGTTCCGATTTCGTCCCACAGTGCAGAGACATACTGATAGGTTAATTGGTTCCTGGGAAAATTATTCCGGTTGTGAGTATGAATGTGTTTTGTGGCTTTGTGTCCTGGGCCAGACCTGTGATGGACTGGTGCCCCATCTAGGCTGTATTCCACCTTGGACCCATTGTTTTGTGGATAGGCTCTGGCTCCCCTGCTTCCTGTTCATGGAACGGAATCTATAATATTAATGCTAACATATGGTCTTGGAAGCACAGGTCACATACAGGCATTCAGTTGTAAAAGCTACGACTTGTTCATTTTGTTTTTGGTTTACCTTCAACTCAATGTAATGTGTAATGGAAAGCCTGTTTACCACTGTTTACGTTTGAAAATGTATTTCTCAGTGTTCTTTAGGTTTGAGCTCCCAATGCTTTCAGCAGTTTTTCAATATGTACTGCGCAATATTCACATTTTTAGTTTGTTATAGTGTGTTTTCTCTGAAGTGACGTTTGTGTGGTTATATGACATTCATGGCATTTCCTTTAAATTGTTATTGTTACCTTTCACTTTGAAACACCTGAAGTTAAGACTGCCACGAGGAAATATGTACGATATAATTACAGGTTTATTTTTTTTTCCTTGTCACTAAACAAAAGATTGAAAAAAAGATTTTTTCTCTCTAGCCTTTTTTAAACAAAATTGTCCCTTATCCATAAATGTTGGTTGTAGTGTAGTATAGTTTTAGAACTATATTTTGTGTATTTCCTGAATTTTTCCAAAGCCATAACTATTAGCAGTTGTGTATCAGCTATGATG